CAGTTTCGACAAAACGAAATAGAACAGTGCTTCGAAATTAAACAAAACTCGAAACGAAACACTGTCCCATCGAAACGGAAGTCTAAACGAAACGGTGCCATTTTGCACAGCCCTATATTTTGGAACATCCTTCAAGGAATATTATACCCATTCTATTAATTCATTTTGCCACTAGATGTCACTGCTGTTCCATGGAGATCAGTTGCAACTGCATTTCTCTGGATTTCTTTCTTAAAAAGGATAAATTTAGAAGCAAATTTAAGGTGTTTCCTTTTGCTCTAAGCAAATATCTTCTTCCCAGGGGCATGAAACAAATCATTAAGCCACAGGTTAACTGTACTTCATATTAGAGATTGTTGGATTAAATTCCTGGTCCCAGAGTATTTTAGGTTTTTAGGCCAGATGCAAATCGTGACCCTAGGTGGAATTTAGACTCCTAACTCGTTAAAAAAAAGTCTGAATTGGCTCTACTTCAGCAGCCATAAAACTCCATGGACTCTGCAGATCATTAGCTGTTTCATATAATCCTGAGAATTTGGCCCAAAGTGTAATTTTAGGCCCACATGTATACTCCAGAAACAATCCAGATTGGCACCTAATTCTCACCTGAGTGCCACTGTGATTTGGATTAGTACTGGGAGGCATCAGAATAGTATATGCACTTAATTCTAAACCATCATTAGCTAAAAAAGAGTGCCCAGGGATGTGGGATACAGAGTCATGTGCCCTTGCACTCTCTAGGAAGCTGGGAGATGTGGATTAGGCTGAGGATGGCTTGGAAACTGGATCTAGAGTTCCAGATTTGTAACTACTACACTACTGGTTAAAAAAAAAAATGGGTACCACACCCTTGCACATTAGAGAGGGAACATGGGGTGCTGTGCCTTGTACTATCCCAATGCTCCTGTCAGGAAGCTACATTTCTTGTGGGTGGTCTGGATCCTAAAATAGTGGAGGCACCTAAAGTGTAGCCAAGAAGTAGCCTAACTAAGACACCCCCTTGTTCCTAATAATTCTTGATGGCTAGCATAGGAGCCTTTCTGTACAGGACTGGGTTTTGGATTGCCCTGGGGAGTTGTTGGATTCTCCTCATTCACTGTATTCTAGATTTCTAACCCTTTTGATTTATATCACCTTCCCAGGGGAGGTCACCTACATTTTTTTACAATGGACAAATAAGCAGCTGCAAAGTCATTTTGGATCTGGCCCCTACCTACACTGTTGCCTGCAATCAGATATCTCTAATATAATAAAAAAACGTACCTAGTAGCAATTCATATATTTTTAACACCTGATTCTTATCTCTCTCATACCTGTGTAAATCTGAAGTCTCTTCAGTTAGCGCAGTTACACTGCTAGGAAACAAATGTATGTTAAATCAGAGTCCATTCCAGAGAGTTTAAAGGTACCTTATTGTTGCTGAATTAAACCATGGCTCAAAGGTTTTGGCCACACTGCAATGTTTACACAAGATAGAACTCGAGTGTTGTCCCTAACTCAAGTCCTGTCCACACATAAAGCTCCTTAACTTGAGAGTGGCGGTACTCTTCATTTGAGTTTACGGAGCCCTGAGGGTGGCAAAGATTATAGTTTGAGTTAGTACTTCAAGTCAGCTACTCACGCAATCAACCCTTGCTGCTAATCCCATCACTGCACAGTAGCCCAATCTCTATTTCAGCTCCACTGTTATTTTGTAGTACAGCCAATCGCACTCAAACTAGACTAAGCCCTTGTCTACTTTACAAAATTCAGTCAGCAGCACTATATATACCAACTAGGGGTGAGAAAAGATCATATCCTGTAGCCAGAGTAGTTCTGCCAACAAAATCCCCAGTGTAGATGCAGCTCTGCTGTCAGAAGGCAGCTTCAATTGGTAGTGCTTGTCATTCCAGGGAGTTGGTGTAGTTCTGGTAGCAGAAAACTCGTTCTTTACACCAGGACACCTGGCTGCCTTTGCACTGCTTATAACATTAAACCAGCAGCAGCTCTGTAGGTCGTAGCTTTAATTTGAGAGGAGCTAAATTTAAATTGAACCTAGATAACTCAATTTAAGTGAGAAGGAATCATAGAAGTAGGGTTGGAAGGGACCTTGTAGATCTTCAAGTCCGACCCCCTGCCTGGGCAGGAGGGAAACTGGGCTCAAGTGACCCCAGCCAGGTAGGCATCGAGCTGCTGCTTAAAACCCCCAGGATAGGAGCCTGCACTACTTCCCTTGGAAGTTGGTTCCAGATCCTAGCCACCGTAACTGTGAAGTGGTTCCTACGGATGTCTAATCTAAACCCACTCTCCAACAACTTGTGGCCATTATTCCTTGTTATCCTGGGGCGCTAGGGGAAACAAGGTCTCCCCCAAACCCTTCTGGTCCCCCCCTAGTGAGTTTATAGACGGTCACAAGGTCCCCCCTCAGCCTTCTCTTGTGAAGGCTGAACAGGTTCAGGTCGCGTAGCCTCTCACTGTAGGGTCTGCCCTGCTGTCCCCAAATCATGCGGGTGGCCCTCCTCTGGACCCTCTCAATGTTGTCCACATCCTTCTTGAAGTGGGGCGCCCAGAACTGGACACAGTACTCCAGCTGTGGCCTGACCAGTGTCACGTAGAGGGGGAGGATCACCTCCTTGGCCCTACTTGAGATGCACCTGTGGATACATGATAAGGTCCGGTTAGCCCTGCTGACCGTGACCTCGCATTGTCGGCCCATGTTCATCTTGGAGTCAATGATGACTTCAAGATCC